ACCCATATACTCCCTCCCACCCCCGCCTTCCACTCACACTCTCTACACTCGGCTCGACTCGACACTCGGGGTCACAATAAATCCCACAATGAATCCCAACTTCAACCGGTACTCCCGGAACTCCCACGTGCGGAACGGACAACCCACCCCGCCTCCTCACGATGAAAACAAGCAAAACAAGCGGAAGTTCTCGCAGATGAACGTCGCAGGCCCAGTGCAGCAGTACCAGCAACAACATCAGCAGCAGCCACAACAGCTGTCCCAGCAGCTTCCCAGCCCTCCCTACGATGATGAGAAGGCCAAACGGGAGCGCTTCCTGGAGCGTAACCGCCTCGCCGCTAGTAAATGTCGGGAGAAGAAGAAGAAGAACAACCAGCAGCTGGAACAGCGGTTTCACGAACTGCAAAACAAGAACACCGAGCTCAACACAGAGATCGAGGACCTTCGCGCTGAGGGGATCGCTCTGAAGAACGAGTTGCTGAGGCATAGCGAGTGTGGGGACCCGGCCATCTCCATCCATCTCAGTCACATGGTCCAGAACATCACCGCCAGGGACCACGCGGCTGCAACCCGTCGGTCCGCCGAGATTTCCGATCTGCTGACGATGGGAGATCATGCTGCGGTGGCTACTGGCTCCAGGGTATCGGTTTCTTCCCTGACCAACTCCCCCCCTGGTCTCTCCACCTCCAGGTCGGTTAGTTCGTCGGGTTCCTCCGGCCTCTCGCCTGATGCTGCTGCCGCCGCGGCCGCCTTCGGCTTTGATAGCCCGCCTATGCATATGATGCCATTCGCCAGCGGCTCCGCTAGCAGCAGCCACGACACACACAGCAGCCTCAAGTCGGTCATGGATGGCTCATTGGACTCGATGCCTGAATACGAGTTCCTCGAGGATCTTGCTTTGATGGACTGAATATGATACATGTTGCCGGCCTCAGCTCACCCCGGCTTTACAGCATAGCGGAAGGCCTTCTGATCGACTTTGATTTATTGTTTCATGGAAAAGCCAGCGGGAGTTTATGACTGGTATCACATCTGTCGGGCGGGAGGATGTGTTCGGTGTTTTTTTTTGTCTGGGAGACCTGAAATTGGTGGCAGTGGGAGGCTCACTGATTTGAGGGTTGTTGCTTTTCTTTAGCGATCGATTTGCTTTTGTATGGACCAGGCGTTTTTGACTATTCTTTAAGCGGGTTTGGGGGTTATGGCGTTCTACGGGAAAAGGCAGACACAAGCATACGGGAAAAGGTCACTGCCAGGGATGGGGATTGCTTTCTTTTATTGGGTGAGGAGTATTGCTATTGCTAGTTGGGACTTGATCATCATGGATGTACGGGATGAACTTGATAGTGCTAGCAAGATTGCTATCAATCTTAGAGTCTGATCAACAGACTTGGTGATATCTCGGCGGTGGCTGGTTCTTAGTAGGTGGTGCTTATTATGGCCAAGTGCATTTCCCGGGGTTGTTTAGTGGTACAATACGGAGTACACAATAAGGTTAAATGATTTGGTACTCCGTAATCTCTAATGGATGATCTTCGAGACCTGTTCAAAGACCCGAGTAGAAGGTTGTTTTATTTTTTTTTTCCTAAAATTTTTGGACTCCATAGACATCGAGCTAGAATCCAGTCCACATTCTACTACTTAGACTACCTACCTTAATTTACTGTACGGAATACACCAAATAACTTAATGGATGCAACCAGAGCACCGGAATTTACCCGGATAAGCTTCCAGGGAAAAAAAAAAAACAATTCCCAGGAAACTAGCTGGCACCTGCATATCGTCCAGTGTGGCTGGAATTTACTTTTTTTGTTGGTTTCTTGTTTTCCCTCCTCTTTTGGGCCATTCAATTTCCGGGAGAAGGATTCCTCCTTAGTTGGAAGGTACTAGGTATAGTACATAGTACTCCGTAACGTACTCCGTAGTGTGGATTGTGTTGTGGAGCCTCTCCCCCCCCCCCCCCCCTTCCCCCACCCTCAAGCCGGAAAATCCCAGAAAACTTGGAACAGGGTTCTGACTTCTGGATTGTGCTAGCAAATGGAGAGAGAGGAGAAGCGGGCAGGCAGATCGAGGGAGCGGTTATTCCCGCCGACGTCATTTACTTATACTGCGGTGACGGTTGGCTTTGCGAGGGTGATTTCCGATCGATCGCTCGTCCACGGTTTATTTTTTTTTTTTTTCGGAGGGGGGTGATCACCTACGTTTTTGGGGAGGTTATTGTCTTTTTTCTTCTTCTTTTTTTTTTTTATCTTTTTCTTTTTTTGTGTGTGAAGGGGGGAGGGTTTTTTGGGTGGTTGTCTGGGTTTTTTTTTGGGATTGAGATTATTGTTGAGTACTGAGTACTGAGTACGAGTATGTTCTGGATGGGTGCTCTGGTTCTTGTCGGTGCTAGGTATTAGTCTGAGTAAGGTTGATTAGGTAGGTAGTCAAGTCGGGATGGGTTAAGTAAGTTCTCGAAATGATTTTCCCAGTCCGGAATTCTTGGGCTTCTTTCTGTCCTGGGTCTGGATGATTGGCCTTTCTGGGGGATTGAGGAAACCTATCTTCCAAGTTGAATCTGAAGTACGGTACGGAGCTGTACATGTAGCTAGGTTGCTTGGTGCACGATAGGTTACTATGCTGTAGTATGTACTATACATTACAGATGGTACTGTAGTTTATCACAAGTAGGTAGTCTCCAGTCCACTCGGTAAAGTAATCGAGTCTGAGTCTGATCCAGTCTGGTCTTATCTATATTGTGTAGAAGGTATCTATTATCTGTAATTAATATGGAATCCAAATTGAACGGCATAGGTATAGTACTAGGTATACCTTTCCCCCGAGACCCACACCCACCGGATTTGGGAAACCAAGTTTGGATGCATTTAGCAGGGTAGATAGGGTAGGTATTATTCAGTAGGTAGGGTTCCTTCTTGGGTAGAGATGCTAGTTGACTTATACATGTAGTCGGGTGGACTTAGCTGACTGGGTATATCTCAAAGAATTGAAGTGTTTCCTTTTTTTCTTTCTTTTCCTTAGTACAGTACTGCCCGGCGCTGCTGGGGTGGCCCCACCAACACCCATACTCACCACTTTGACGGGGGGATTCTTCCGTGTGAGTACTGCTTAATACCTAGTATAAGATTATTTTTCAAAGCAGGGTGAGAAGGCAAGTGAATCTTCGGTATTCTGGCACACCTCTTGTAATGGATAATCAAAGGTGAAGTGGTGTGATGAGAGGGCTAATTTGCTCACTATATTATCCACGGATTACTGTATAGCGCTTCTCGTAGGACCTGAATATATAGAAAGAGAGTTGATGATAATGTAAACTCTGTTTACTTAACTTACTCTCTGCTTATTTCTTGCAGTGCTTGTCGGTGATTAGAATCATAATCACAAAATCAAGGGAATCTATTTTATTGTTAGGGAGAGTTTGCCCTAACCACAAGATGGTACATTGCAAAATGGGCGGAAGCAATCTTCAAGACGAGGGCTTTCTACACTTCTGGACTTGGAAGACACTGTTGGGAGAGGTGATCGCGGAGTACAGGGTACAGTATAGATGGTTTGGCTTTGCAGAAGGTCTTCTTTCTTTCTTTCTTTCTTTTTTTTTCCGGTTATAATAAGACATCAAAGTACAGTGAGTGAGATTTCCTCAACAGCGATAAAAGCACAACTCTGAATCATATCTTAATTTCTAATAAGTGGTTAAACAGATTGTTTGTATACTGAATGAAGCGGATTCTGCATCAATGTTCTTATTGTGATTGTGATCAACAAGGGACCGAGAAAGTGTTAGCTATACATAAATAGAGAACCACATCAGCATCTTTACTGTTTATGGCATCCGAACACTGGGGATATTAGATCAATCATTATTTATTTCTTGAATAAATGCTCTTGTGATGACAAACGTGTGTAGCTACTAGAATACGTGGACGTCTGCCGGATATAGAGAGGGCTGCGATCATGTGATCTGTATATCTCTCAGTGCTCTTGGTAGGTAGCTTATCGACAGAGTGCAAGCCATTACACAAAGAATTGCTAGAGAAGGGATTTATATTAGCTGCAATGTTACATGTCCCAGTTCCGGAGGGCTTGCAGGCATTAGATATATATTTCTGCCACAAGCAGTCTCTAGATCTTTTAAATAAACAGTGATCTTCTGTGCTTTTTATATCTTTTTGTTGGTTACTGTATTTAAATATAACTCTATATGCTATTGTTTAAGCAGCATTGGAAACCGAGCTGTGAATTGCAACTGCAACTGCCAGCAACCGCAACCGCAACCGCTCTACTTGTCATCCTCCTCCACGATTTTGGAACAACCTCACTAAGCCGTGGTTGACTAAAAGCGCCTTGAAAGAAGCTCACCGACAAAACCAACTGCTCTGTCCAAGCCAGACCCCCGTTTTCAACTCTTACACCTTCGCCTCTGATTACTTGCGCCGTTACTCTGCTGCTTCTTTACAAGAGATCAGAAGATCTGCCCGCGATGGAGGACCAGATCTAGCAGATATTCGAAATATTCCCCGTAACGACTGATTATGTGATGACCCAGGTCGGGCAATGGGCGTTACTCGGCGATCCCGAGTAACGTAACTTCCGTAGTATCTGAGGTGTTCAGCAACACAACACAATTGGTCAGTAAGATTCTGGGAGTTAAGTCAGTTAGGTACTTAATTCGATTTGCCAAACTGTAACGTTACTGGATATTACGCATCATACTGTATTCCGAGTAACTTATCCATGATGTATCAACAAGTGAACCCAAGTAAGTCGTGTAGACCAACCAACTGAGTTAATACTGGTATACATGGGTACTACTTAGTACTGTAACCCCTTTCGGCCGACGACAGATCCGACCGTGCGCCGCGAAGGTTCTCAAGATTGGAAGCCCTGGCATCCAAACAGAAACCTCACTTTGACTTTTTGGGTTTGACTTTTCCACATGATTTCACTTCGTCATAGCGCTTCAGTTTGTCAGCGTACGGAGTGTCGATACGCATTCAAAGACCTTCGAAGAGGTTATTTCAAAGTTCCCCTACCCTGTATGGATAACCCAAGCCTTGATAAAATCCAAGTCACCCGTACGCGGGGCAACTTCCAAGGTAAAGTGTTGAGGTTGGTACATATGAGCTAACTACAACGCTCGGAAGATAATTCCCCTGTCAACCAGATACATAGCTACTCTCCGGCCGCCAGAGAACAACAAAACTCGGCCCATCAAGTGAGGTGCAAGTCACAGTCCGACTCGCAATCAGTTTCACACGTAACAGCGCGACGCCGAAGACTCCGTATGCGGCGGGCATCCAAATAGTCCGGCCAGCTACAGTACCAATCCAAAAACTCCGGAATGGAGTCGAAGCGCGGCCTGCGCCCGTAAATCACAGTCGGCGCCGGGAAATCCCCCTTGTCGTCAAGGACAACGACCCGCCACGCCCAATTCCGGATATTGGGGGCATCGGGAATAGCATCATCCCGCACGGCATCATCCCGCTGCCGGCAGTAGAGATAGGCACTATACCAGTGAGGGTATTCACCGATATAGCCAGTGCCCGTAATCACACCAGCCTTGACCTCCAGATCATCGGACTCGACCGACGGGCCAGCCATCGATTTATGGATGAGATCGCCAATCCCGTCGGATTCCAGGTACTCCCGCACCTGCGCGCACTCTTTCCGGACCAGCGCACGGTACCGCTCGGGCTGCGTCTCCGCCAACGCAGCCTGTTCCTCTGATAAGAGCATCGGCCCCGGCTCAAAGGGCGGGATGGCGGAGAGGCGGAAATCCGGGTCCTCGACCGCGTAGGCGTACTGCAGGAACACGCCCAGCTCGTCGCAGCGGGGAACCAGCCCAGGGGCCTCCTGGCCTCGCTCCGCCGCCCATTCCTCCGCCTGCTGCTGGAAGACTTGCTGGAGCATATCCAGGAACTGCTCGCGGGCTTCGTGGGTCCGCAGTCGCGGCGGGTGCACCCCGTCCAGGGGAAATGGGAACACCTGGCCCATGTCCATGTCCATTGCCGCGGGAAGATCCACCAACCGCGGCGGAAACCCGTTCTCCCTCTCGTTCGGTAGGTAAATGGGTCGGTACTCGACCATCTTCTGCCATTTCACTTCTTCGCGGGCCAGGCCCCGGGCTTCGATTTCATCCACGCGATCCTGGATGAATCTCCGGTTTGCCGTGGCCATCCGGACGCGGAATTGTTCCAGTGCTTGCTGCATTGGTCTGTTCAGCGTCCGTGGAAAGACGCCATTGTTTATCAAGATTGGTTTTGATGGAATTCTGGGAGAGTGTCAGTGGGTTTCGGAGGGGTTGTTTCTCTATCCCTCACTGGGACGCTTGCAGATTTGCGTGCGAAGGTTGGGAATGATCTGAGGCGCTTTAGCAAATGAGACTCGCGGAATGAATGGATCGATCCGGCAGAGATGGGATTATGACAGATCAAGACTAGACCATACTGGCAATCGTACATGACCTTACTGAGGATTTTTACTTGATGCAGTGGGCGCAGTGCAGTGAGTGTTCAACTAGGGCGGGGAGGGGGGAAGATAAGCTCGGCTGGTTTATCTTCGCAGGTGGAAGTACAGTGCAGCCGCAGCAGGGTTTGGGTCGTTGGCTTGGCTTGGCTTGGACTGGGCTGGACTGGAATGGAAGCCTGGAACTGATCTCGGGCTGGTGGGGGGCCTTTCGTTCGAAGTTTCCGGGTTCTGGGCCCCCCATCGCTCCCTCGGCCGGATGTCGGGCGTAATTCTGTTCTTCTGTGTTTTGGGGTGGTGGTGGTGGTTGTGGTGGTGGCGGGTAGTGGTTATGATTACCTTAAGTGGTGGGCTTGAGTGGGCGCTGAGGCTTCGAGAACAATATCAATTAATGGGTAGATCGAGTGACAAAGGAAGGAGAGGGGGTCTGCCTCGATGTTACATCACTTCAATTTAGGTTCTGACGGTTCTAATTCGTAATTAGCCAGACGGTATCTTCCTTTGTCTGATTTTGTTTAAATATTCTGAGATGGAATGTAAGAGAACACGAAGGGCCGAGGCCACTGGACCGTGCAAATAAAAACAAACTCTGGACAACATCACTCTACATCATCCCCGTCCCTACTGCTGACACCTTCGTAACCCGCATCCGCAACCGCAAACAAAGAATCAATCTCCTCTAACCCCATCCCCCTTGTCTCGGGCAAAAATCCATACACCAGCCCCGCGAACCCCGCATCCAGCACCCCAAACAACCCAAACGTGCCCCACCCCAGCCCCTGCAGCAGGTACGGCGTCGCAGACGACCACCCAAAGTTCGACAGCCACTGTGCCGCCACCCCCATCGCCACTCCGGGCTCGCGGATCCGCGCCGACGAGAAGAGTTCCGCGCTGCACGGCCAGGGGAGGGGCCCCCAGGACAGGTTGTAGGCCACGATGCTGAGGTAGATCAGGAGGATGGTGGCGAGGGAGGCGGGCGAGAGCGAGGAGGATCCATGGTCAGGGTCTGAGTCAGGGTCAGGGGTGGCATGAGCAGGTGATGACGGCGATGGCGGCGATGACGACGATGACGGAGCAACCGAGGCGGTTCGCAGAACGGCTGCAGTAACAAGCATGCACACCGACATGGCCAATGCACCCAGAATCAGCAACGGCCGACGGCCGAAGCGGTCGGCCACAAACACAATAAACAGCAGGCAGCTGATCACCTTCAGAAACCCAAAGATCCCCGTCAGCAACAATGTCAGACGGGCGGTGGCGCCGGAGGCCGTTGAGACGTCACTGCTGCCCCCGACGAGCAGGGCGAAAAACTGCGGGCCGAAGTAAGCCATGGCGGTGGCACCCGTGGACTGCTGGCAGACAAACAGGGCGACGCCCAGGATCAACCGATGCGCGTTGGCGCGCTGGAGGAGCTCCCGCGGGGAGAAGTCGGCTGTCGCGTGGGCGTCGCGCTCGATGGCCGACTGCATGGCCCGGAACTCGGCCTTGACCTCGGGGCCGCGCGAGGCGCGGATCCACGTCAGGCTGTCCCAGGCTTGGTCGGCGTGGTCGTGGGAGAGCAGCCAGCGCACGCTTTCGTGCAGAGTCAGCATGCCCACGCCCATCAGAGCGCCCGGGATGAGCTGCAAAGCCAGCGGGATCTGCCACTGTGCGGCGTTGCTGGGCGCGTACTGCATCCCGTAGTCGATCCAGTACGAGATCAGGATGCCGATCGTGAAGGTGAACTGGTAGCAGCTGCCCAGCCGGGCACGCATTGAGGTTGGGCTCATCTCCGTCAGATAGATTGGGATCACGGTCGCTGAGCCTCCGATACCCAGGCCGCAGATGACACGTCCGAGGTAAAAGGCAGACCGAGCATGGGTGTCGAGGATCTCGAAGATCACCCCCGCACAGAAAACAACGGAGCAAATGGCCATGGCAGGGCGACGACCGAGTCGATGGGTCAAGGGCCATATTACCAAGCTGGCAACCAGGGCGCCAGCCTGCTGGACGCCCACGGCAATGGCACTAACGCGGGTTTCATTCTGTGAGGTATATCGAAAAGACCGGTGGAAGGAGTCGAAGGTCAAAACCCCTCCTGCATGTATGTGTCATTCTTGTGGCCTTGCCCCGTGGGATAGAGATCAAATACCGATCACGCCAGAGTCGTACCCGAAGAGCAGGCCCCCGCAGCAGACTATGGCCGTCAGCCAATACAGACGGAATAGGGCATGGCGGGACGGCAGCGGAGCAGAGGATTCCTCCTCTGCATGCTGTATGAGAGGATCCTCAGGACGGATATCATCCTCAGTCACCAAGAAAAAGGACCTCATCATGGGCCATACCCAGCAAACCAGACATCCGGCGCGACTGAGAGATATATATGTATGGGATTATGACAAGAAGTAAGGAGTCCTTGCGCGGAAATTGTGAGTCAGATGACGTGCCGGCGCTTACGTGTTGCATGCAGCGGTCGGGGGCGCCGATCATGATCGGCTATCAATCAGATCATCACGAAGGAATCAGTAAACAATTCCCGGCGCACACAGCGCGAATCCGCCCACGTTCGTGACGCATCCTGCCGCCTGGTCATCTCCTGCAGCAGGAGATAAACATTTCCGGCATGCGGGTGTCGCGCGGGCTGAGATTGGTCCTCACCGTTCTCACCTCGCTGGCTCATCTGCTTCATCTGCGACAAAATCCATTGCCGCTGCTCCAAGGATGCCTCCAGGCCAGCCACAAACAACGGCCACACGAAACTCGCAGGCAGATGTCGCTCCTCTCCTGCAGAGGACTGTGTGTCGATTGTTGCCAGATGAAGAATGCCTTCCACGGCTCGATGCACCCGATCCGTCCGCGGATAGATGGCAAATGCGACGCGGTGCAAGTAGATGAAGATTGCCAGGAAGTTGGCAATGTACTGTCTGAAAGTCCGACATGCTTCCCGCGCAACCGCAGGCTGTAGAGTGTCGTGGAGCAGCTCGGGGCTGCTGTGGATGTCGAGCACGCGTGGACGTCCGTTCCAGAGCGTTTCCAGGTCGGCGCTTATCTGATGCGCGAGCTGGAGAACCTCGAACTCGTCACTAACAGTGCCGCGATTTCGGTGGTGTAGGTCTATGCACACAATCCGCCGGAGAATCTGTTGCGTCTGTAGAAGAAACTGAAAGGCCGGACCGGTGACTGCTTCACGGATGAGGAACGCAGGCTCGGGGCTGTCCTCATCCGCACCATGGCTTTCCTCAGGTGGTACGACCCCAGCATCCCTTCCTACTGGCGCAAGGCTACCCAGGCCAACGAGCGGATCGCCCTCACGCCCGGCAATTAATGCCTTGACGTCTAACAGCGAGACCCAGGAACTGATCAGGCGGCTCACGCCCGTCCAGGGCCTGGTCCGGCCATGGAAGCGTTGTAGGAGTAGATAGGCTGAGTGGAGGAAGGACGTACCCGCTTCCCCCAGATCTGGACTCGACAGATGCTATTTGGTGAGTCCACGATCCTGCAAGTCTCTAGAGAATCACCTACCTCCGCCAACATCAACATCAGCACCGTTGTGAAAACGTGCCTGAGCACGGGCTCTGATACCTTCATGACCAGACCTGACTGCACTTCCGACCACGCCAGCTGATGGTACCTGGACTTGCGGTTGCGGTCCCACGCCGTCCCCTCGACCCACGTCTGATGCACCTCCGAATAACAGTAGATACCAAGTAAGACAGCTCGACAGTCTCGCGACTGACGCACGATCCGTGCTCGCACATACTTCCAATTCAGGTCGACGGGGCCAAAAATTGTAGGCGGCGGATCGCTTGTCTCGAAATGCGCGAATAGTCCTGCTTCGTACGGCGTCTGTTCGTGGTGGGGGGCATCCGTCTCTCCAGCAGAAGGACAATCGCCTAAACTGCCAGAAATCGAGCTCATGTCCGCGCTAGAAGCCCAGTTCATCGTTTGTGCAGGGTTCCTGGTGGATTCTGTAGTGGTAGCGACACTGGCAAGCTCAGGTCCCGCCGACAAGCCGGAGAGCCCATTCGTGGTTAGGTCGAGGTGCTTCTGCTGAAAGTCAGAGGTAAACTCCCCAATGAAACCGAGGATATCGAACGAGGAGACTAAGTCGACAGCTGATCCGGTAGGCGGATGGGCAGAGGCTGGCTGTCGTAGTGGTGACGAGGCTGGAACTCCGTCTTCACATAGGACAGTGTGGAAGAAGTTCACGTCGGGACGGTCAGAGGGTGTCCCAGCAGCCACGCTTGCGGAGGCTGCAGGACCATTCTGGCAGTTGATTCTTCGTGAGGAGATGCGGTCCGCGATAATGGTCTTGTAGGTACATGGGAGACGCAGACGAGTGCAGTTCGCACATGTCGGTTTGACCTCGTCGCACCGCACCTTGCGCGACCGGCACGTCAGACACCCCGTGCGGCGGCGGGGACCTGATCGGCCCATGCCACGTGCTCGAGGAGTCTAGCATAGTCAGTATACAATCTTGTGAGATAAGGTGTTTGGAATGTGCGAGGGCAGATACCTCCATGGTCCCCAGATCTGACCTGAACAGGAGTATGCATGATGAGTGTCTGTTGGCGTCGGAGCGCATGAAGCGGGACTGACGATCACCCAGCGTGGGTTCAGGAACCGTCGCCGGGAACACCCGCCGCGGACCGCGCTGCGTCTACGGAATCACAAGGGAACAAAGAATGGTCTACACGTAAGGTGGATGTATTCACTGGAATCATCACTTCTATATGACATAAGACTGTCCTGCTTCCTTCACGGTACCCTGTGGTAGAGCACCTCCCCAGGTACAAGCCGCTTCTTGTCCCCACCGAGGCATTTCGACGTATGGAGCAAATGTCCCCGTTCCTTGCGCACATACGCCGCAAAACAGGCTGCAGCCATCGCGATGGCACCGTAGCTGATATAAACTGGGTACTTGAACTGTTCCGGTGAGGGGAAGGCGATGGTAGTCGCAAATGATAGCAGCTCGAAGATATTTTGGAGAGCCATTTCCGTCGCGGAGAACCGAGCCCGGCAATCTTCGTCGACTCCCTGCTCTCGTCAGCGTTGGGCCCCTTCCTAGCAATAGGAATTCTTACCTCTTGCACCAGAAACTGTACGGACAGATCGAATCCCCATAGCCCGACCCGACTGAGCGCCACGCCCACGATCAGACTGACAGCGACCACCTGGGAAGAGGGGTCGAGTAAGGCAAAGGCCGCCACCGCTGTCACCAAACAGACGAACTGCCAGTTCAAGAACCACAACCCAGACCGTATGGGTCCGATTCTGTTCATGATGAATGGAGCCGCCCAAGTCCCGGATAGCTCCGCCGCCACAGCACCAATTCTCATTGCGCTCACTTGCAGGGGGGTGAAACCGGTGTGAAGCAGGTAAGTGACCATGGTCGCGCCAAAAGACAAGACCGTCAGATAGAGTAGACTCAAAGCAAAGCTGGCTAGGAAGAGAGGACTTCGAATGTACTCTTTCCACGGGGCTGCAGCGTCTGTGATCCGCTGCTTAAATCGCTGAGCTACGCTCCGAGTTTCAGTCGCACTGCCCAGGGCGCCCTCCGATCCAGCCGCTGGCATATTACGTCCCAGCTGAGAAACTGAAGCATAGACCTGGAATTGGTGAGCATTGAATCGGACACGACACGACCCATCATACCTGTGCGATGGCAACATATTCAACAGCAACACAAGACACGTTGACCCCCAGAGTCGTCCATATAGCAGCTTTGGTGGAGAAGCCGTCAACCAGCGAAATGAATATGGGGGCAATGAGCTTGCAGAAAAGATCTATTCTTCTCATAGATGCGTTGAGGTCTACTCAGTCAGCTTACATCGAGCCAGATTATGCTAGAGAGCTCCTACCTTGACGAGGTATCTCCAAAGCATCTGCCACAACAATGGCCTGCTCAGCACATCAGAAAATTACCGTGCAGTCGTGCATGTCATGAACCTACCCAATCCCGCTCCACTGCTACTGTATTGGCCGTGGCGGCGAGTTTCTCGAAACAGGCCAGCACCACTGTCGCTAAGAAGAGAAAGATCCTCAGGGTCGAGTTCGACGAAGCAAGTAGCACCACAAAACAAGCGCAGGAGCCCGCTACGGGGAGTCGCTGCCAGACTAGGATGCTATTAGCATACTATCGACAGGAAGGTCAAGAAGCATCTGCGTACCGATCGAATGTCTAAGTGCAGTCAATCGATTGGATCGGTCCACAACCGAACCGAGCCATGATGACAAGACAACGGCCGATAAGGACCGCACGAGTGCGTAGATTGAGGCATATAGCAGGGTTCCGGGGAAGATGGACGCCAGGAACAGGACCGCGCCGAATTCAAACATGCGGGAATTCCATGTCGAGAGAGAGTGAGAGATGTAGAGTCGAAGCAGAACTCGTGATGAAGCTCTTGAAATCACCGTATGTGGGCTCACTGGTCTGTCGATCAGTGGTTCGTGGGCAATTAGAGAGCTCGATGTCTCGTCCGGTTCGGAGGTGGACGGGACCATGGCGGGACGTTCAATTGCAGGATGGTCGCACCACACAAAATACCTCCAGTAAATTTGATGTTCAGGACATCGCAAACTGGCAGCGTAGATCGCGCACTTGTAGAGTAGCGATTGGTAACCTTGAAATTGCAAGGAGGACTTGAAGGAAAGGTGGAGCGGAGGGTGAATTCCGAGTGGGCTGAGGAAAGAGAATGAAAGTAGCCGTGGTTCGTTCGCCGGGTGAGGACCGCGGGAGCCTAATAGAACTACTGACTATACTGTAGATCCATGGATATGTGCTGTATTGTACACAGCATCGTTCAACATGTACTACCTCAAATCGACGCATGAAACAACATGAAATTCGATTCATCAGATAATTATTCTCACATGTCATTCATCAAGCTGTCTAAGAAACTGCTCGCAACGAGACCAGCACCGTTGACGAACTTTTCCGAAAGAAATCCCCAATGTCACTACTCTCCGACTCAGCTTTGTAAGAGAACAGTTTCGCAGCAATACCCGCAAGTCAAAAGGCATATGAAGACATGATCCCGCTCCCTCACATGCATTGCTAAGGTATGATGTTCAAAAATGTACAGCAAACACGGTAAAACTTTATGTCCAGATAGGCAGCAGGCAAGCAGGGGCATGAAGAGTGGATGAGAAGGATGAATGCATCGCGATTCCTGTCACGAGTAAGATAGAACAATAGGAAGACATTAGAGCGCTGGGATTAAGATTTGAAGCTTTCTTGTCTTCGCCCGCCGACTATGAAAAAACCCTCACGCATGAATCCGCACTTCCAGTGGCCAGGATGCACCGGATCTTCTTGTTCGCCTCCTGTCTTTGAGCCCCAGGACCAGCCTCAGTGGTCTCTTCTGTGACAGCATCATCCGTCACCACATCGGGAGCCCACCTTATGCAGCTGACAAAGTGTCCATGCGCGTCGCTAATGGTCTTGACGAGTTTGGCTTCCTGTGAGAGATCCCAGCACCGGATAGTCTTGTCGTCCGCCACACTGACCAGATATTTGCCTCCAGGATGGAACACTAAGCCTCGGACCCAGTTATCATGACCGACCAAGGTCTTGATCAGCCGTCCCCGCGAGTCCCAGAGTCTGATCGTCTTGTCACGAGCCCCGGTCGCAACAAATTCGGCTGAGCTGGTTGCAGGGGGAGGCTTCTTCAAGCCAGCCAAGGTTGCTAGATACTTGTAGCTGGCTGGCGGCGCGAAGACACAGCATTCGAGGTAGTTCTCATGACCCAATAGTGTAGCCTTCGCCTCCGCCGTCGCAACTTCCCACACAGTGGCGGCCTGATCTCGGCCACCCGACACCAGCCATTTCCCGTCAAATGAAGGGGAGACGTCTCGAATCCAATTATCATTCGAACGGATTGTCTTGACGCAATAGCCCGTGGATGCGTCCCATATACGGATGGAGGCATCGCGACTGGCCGACACGAGCAGACTTCCGTTGTTGGGCAAGAAGCTGACCGCCGAGACGGAATGGTCGTGTCCGGAAAGAGTTCGGATATTGGCATAGTCATTGCTAGGGTCCCATAGTTTGACTGTAAGGTCACTTGAGCAGGACGCCAGCAGTGTATGCCCTTTTTGTCCGCCATAGTCCAGACCCGAAACTGCCCGCATGTGGCCCTTGAGTGTCCTCTCCAGTTCGCCTAGTTCCCAATCCCAGATCTTGATGGTGCAGTCTTCGGAGCCCGACGCCAGCGATGTGTAGACAGGATGGAAGGCAACGCAAGTCACTGCATCGCGGTGCGACTGAAATTTGTGCCGCGCCGGTGATGAGGGGAGCCAGCTCGTAGGGTCTTGGTTAGGTCGTGATCGGGACGTCAAGGCCATGGAGTCCAATTCGGCCTGCAAGGTCGACACCTTCGACTCTAAGTCCATGATCTTCACTGTTCGTCAGCGCATGCGAACCCCTCTCCCGGTCCCGCGCCCAGGGCAAGCGGTTGGTGATTTCAAGCGGGGTAGGGAGAAAAATGCTCTCACCTTCCTCTGTAGCCGAGCCACGCTCGTCCATTTTTTCTCCAGCAGTCCCTCATATTTCTTGCATGCGGTGTCGTCAAAGCCGTCGCCGATCGGGAGCTCTTCGCGTATGGTCGCAACGCTTCGGGTAGCATTTATGGAAGATAGATAAGCTATTAGGGACTTGTGCCTAGCCTTGTATCAGTGGATCAGCAGACAACTCAAATCGGAATTCGCAGAGAAGCTTACAGCTCCTCTGCTTGTCTTGTTGTCAACGTTTGACTCATGACGAGAGATATGAAGTTGGGTGGATTCGAAAGCGATTTCGGGTTGCGGCCGCCAGAGGGCGACGCACTTCGTCACACAGACGAGCGATCGGGAGTGGTTGCTGTTGCGGTCACTGTGGCAGTCGGATTGGGGAATTGAGAGAGATAAAAAAGTTCAGAGCATGGCAGAAAATCAGGGAGGCAGGAATTTAAAGGTTCGGGTGGTCAAACGCAAAATTGAGTGAATGGGAATCATGAATTCCTTTGCTTTGTATACAGTCGGTTTCGCGCGTGCAGCGCCCAGGGGCCGCGGGACCTGTGGGCACGTGTTTCGATCTAGAGTGGGCGGTGAAGGCAAGAATCCAATGAGGGAGCATTTGCTCACAAGGCGGGGTATTGTGCTGCTGAGTCAGATCACTATGCTGCACAGTCGGTTTGCCTGGTGGTCGATATCTCTCTACCTTCAAGCCGGTAAGACAAGGCTGGAAGCACTTTGTTCGGGATAAAACCTCCTTCTAGAACTTTGAAGATCTGTGTTAAAACATCCAGACATGCACATACATGATCTACCCACCAAGTGAGTTGTGATCACGTGATTCCCTATTCTACATGGTATGGAACTCGCCTTCTTCTATTGCACATTTTAATGGTATCATAATAGTATCTAAGAAATCTGTTCGTAGGTCAGAAACAAGTATTCACCCGTGTCTTTTCACTCCCATTGCGTGCCCTTCAGGCGCTGCATCAAGTAATCGACCTCGACGACCTTGGTAAGGGGAATGACATATTCCTGGAAGACAATCAGTGAACTTCCAGACCTCATAGTAGAGGAGTATTCTCACCTTGTACATCGCAACCACCGCCTCAACATTAATTTTGGGCCCGCTTTCCGTGGGAAAGGCGGGATCGGTGCCGTATGTCTTAGCCTTCAATGCCAGGCGCTCGAGAACCTTCTGTTCGACCTTCGCATCGGTGATAGCAGCATCAATACCCTCGCGGTCATTGGCCTTGATCAATTTGACGAAGCGCTCGGGTTCCTTTTGAAACTTGGACTCGGCGACAAACTTGCCGAAATGGATGCGACGCGAGAGGGCCTGTAGACAGCTGACGTCGCAGGTAGCCGAGGAGCCATAGTTTTCCTGAGTTTCGCCGCGGTCTTCACGACCGAACTGAGCGCAGACGGCGGGAAGAATGTTCTCAATGTAGCGTTGCTTAATGATGCCGTTGACGTTCACGTCATTGTCGTGCAAAATCCTGGGGTATTGCAGGGGCGCCAGGATCGGTTCTTCCAGAACCTCGGGGAAGAAAGGGTATTCATCGGGCGACTGGTAGCGACGGACGCGGGACTGAATGCGTTCCTGCTCGCGAAGCAGGTAGTCCAAGAGGCTGATATCAGTTTCGGGGATCGAGACACCGCCGGGAGTGTAGACGGGCTTGTTGAGGGGAAACTGGACTCGTTCGATCAAATGAAAAGTGATAGTGTCTTCAAGTCGGCTATAGGAAGCAGATTAGTGGGCTGTTCTATGATTTCTAGGGAGTGAGGCTAAGTGGTGAGGTATGCAATGAAAATGAAGCCATACGACGGTGGGGGGAGGGGGCGAGCAGCAGGGATGATGGTCGACCGTCTTAAGAATGAGGGGATCTTCGATAGTGACGGACGGACGGAGGGGCAGGATTATTTCCGGCTGATCGTCGACTCACATTAGCTGGAAACGGATGTTGGCAAGATCCAACGCCTTGGAGGCATCAGAAAGATCAATGGCTGTATCCATGATGTTGCAAGATCATCAATTTATGGAAAGAAAAGAATTAAATTTCACTATCGGAAGCAGAGAATCGGCGATGTAGAGGTTTCAAACATTCCTTGGGAACGATATCGGATTTAAGTGCTGGGCAGGTTACAGAACCTACAGCACTAGCCTTGCCGATCTCCACGGCTCTGACTCGATTTTGAGAGTGGCATAAGGACTACATTCCGACGGCTGCACAAATTATACGAGCTCAATGCGCGATAGCAAACTAAGATCCCAGTATTTGGTTCATGATTTGTCGCCGGATTTTGATTATAAGGCGCCCTGACAGGGAGGACTAGGTCACTTTTAAATCCGATTTATACATCTATACGTGGTAATTACGGTAATCTATGTACTGCTAGGCCGACTTCGGGGAGATGGTACCGTACCACAGGCGGTAGGTAATTTAGGATGATCACAGGTTTGTGGCTGGTGATGCCGTCATGTCATGTGCCTGTTCCTTCTCTTTTCCTTGCCTGCCTTGCCTAAATCTGGAGAGGAAGACTCGCTGATGGTTGGGAAAAGACCTTTGAATATATATGGGGATTCGATGCACTTTTCTTCTGGCGTCATGTCGATTCTCTTCGGTTCTATCGCTCACCTCTCATACTATCACGCACAGCCACCGTCCTCTTCTCTCCCTTCCTTGGGTGGAGACTGAGCTCGAGCTCTCTCCAGTAAAATACCACCCGAAACACGGTAATTCATCGCGTGCAACTTCGTCCATCCAGAACTTCTTTTCGCAATCTTCAAGGCTTAAAGAAAGCCGACCAGCTGCCCGACTGACGACCGCACCCTGCTAAACGACCCTTTCCTTTCCCAACGCTGCAACTCTCGTATGGGCTTGAGTGCCTCAAGCTCTCCTTCGCCCCCCTCGTCGGTGTTGCTGTCATGGACAGGCGCCGTCGTGATGATTCGCCTTCCGGTCTATCAGATATTGTCGAACAGGATGGTCTTCTAGGAACCGGCATCACGGTAGTGTTCTCTTGACGTTGTTGGCGGCAGAACAGATCAATACTGACATGGCGCTCTATCCGTGGATCAGACTCGTCATATTGAGGCCTTTGGACGGAAAGTCACATCGACTGCTGGGCATTTGATGGGACCGACTTCCGAATCTTCCAACGGCGGCCACTACCACAACGCCATGGTTGACATCCAGCGCGAGCTGCGGCGCCCTGCTGCTCAGCGCAATGTGTTCTCCCTGACCCAAACCACACCTACCGATTTGGTCCGCTCTAAACTGTCTACATCCGAGATCCAATCGCGAGCCATCTCCTCCCTTCCTGATGAGCTTCTCATGAACATACCTGAGGACAGCAGCTCCTACTCGCTCTTCCAAGGGTTTCAAGCCTCCCAAGATGATATTGAATATCGAAAGGCCCACCGCCGGCGCTCGTCCAAGAGCAAGAAGCTATTGAAGGATGGGGAGAAGGATGGGGAGACGCATGCCGCTTTACCTTCCGCGCCCACCGACTTGAGAAAGGAACGAGATCTACTCAGCCGCAGGATGGACCTGATGGGTGTTCGCAAGAATATGTGCAGCTCGGAGATACATGAGATAGACAATAAGATCGCAAACTTGCACAACATGCGCAAGATTGTTCTAGACCGGTTAGCCAGCCTAGAGATGGAGGAAGCCGAACTGGAGCATGAATGTGAGCAGGAAATAGGGTTACCATATGCGATCTCGGCTAGCGGCTGACCAAGGCTTAGTGACGGAGGTTGATAATAAGTTGGAAGATATTGAACAAGACGAAGCAGCTCAAGCGCAGGCTCAGGCCCCGGCAACCCCAAAGTCATCAGCAGCAAACGATGACTCGACCATTTCGGAAGACCCGGCAATGGATGCATCCTTCATGTCTGAGTCTATATACCAAAAGATTCCTTCTCCTAAGAGCGTCAAGCAGAAATCAATAAGTAAGTCTCTCCCTCTACTATGCCGTGAGGGAACACTGGCTGACAAAACAGGGAAACGCTCGATGCCAATTTTACATGAACATTTCAGCCCGGGTTCGGAGATTAAAGAGATGACGGCTCATTCCGACATGGTCACTGCGATTGATTTCGACTATCCATTTGGTACTATGATCACCGCGGCGCTGGATGACACCGTGCGGGTTTGGGATCTTAATGTTGGCCGTTGCATTGGATTCCTGGAAGGGCATAATGCTTCGGTGCGCTGTCTTCAGATTGAGGACAACATTGTTGCCACGGGCTCGATGGATGCATCTGTCAAATTATGGGATTTGAGTCGCGCCCGAACGATGACCACTCGCGACAATCGCATCACCCGCCGCGATGATGGAGACGAAGAAACCGTTCCAGCCGACGACGCTTCCGTGGCATCCCATTCCACCACGCTGGAGGACTGCTTCGTCTACTCATTAGACGCTCATGTCGACGAAATTACCGCGCTTCACTTCAAGGGCGACACGCTGATTTCCGGGTCAGCCGACAAGACACTGCGACAGTGGGATCTGGTCAAAGGGCGTTGTGTGCAAACGCTCGATGTATTGTGGGCGGCCGCGCAGGCGTCGTCGCTGGGAGGAGATTCGCAATGGCGCCCCTCAGGACGCCTGCCGGACGCATCGGCAGACTTTGTCGGGGCTGTCCAGTGCTTCGATGCCGCTTTAGCCTGCGGTACGGCAGACGGTATGGTCCGTCTTTGGGATCTGCGCAGTGGACAGGTTCATCGTAGCCTGGTGGGCCACACTGGCCCTGTTACATGCCTACAATTCGACGATGTGCATCTGGTCACTGGAAGTCAAGACCGCAGTATCAGGGTATGTTATTTTGTTTCTGGGCTTGGTTGCTTGGGTGCTAATTGCCTTCAGATATGGGATCTCCGAATGGGATCGATCTATGATGCCTACGCCTATGACAAGTCCATTACCAGCATGATGTTCGATACCAAGCGGATTGTTGCGGCTGCAGGAGAGAACGTTGTGAAGGTCTACGACAAAGCCGATGGCCACCACTGGGATTGCGGCGCCGGAGTCGGCGCTGATGAACAGGGCCCATCGCCTGCAACAGTCGAGCGAGTGCGACTGAAGGATGGCTTCCTAGTTGAAGGCCGCAAAGACGGTATCGTTGCGGCGTGGACATGCTGAGATGACTATACATTTCTATAGCATGCAAAACCATGCCACGCATATGCTAGCATTTGGATGGTTTTGTGTTTTGTGACTGCTTTGAATGCCTCAGCGACTGTATATTATCTTTACGTTTGACCCAACATAGAAAGGAACCATGGCGTCTTACGGTAGGATCATCCGTTGTAAACTAGTTTTTGACTGATACATGATGCCCTTCTCGTGGCCACTCCACTACCCGATGCTTAAAATTCGTCTTTGTTCATATTCGAAACACGCTTCCTCAATGCCATATATAAAAATAGCTGAGCAAATAAAGAACGTAGCTTGGGTTTCACGGACATTGTGGTTGTGATGGAGCAACAAAGAGGAGAACCCACCACCACCATACGGCGTGGGTGGTTTGGTGCTTAGGACCGAGGAACATTGCCACTCTTGCACTGCTTCGTCTACTTCAAGGTTACAAGTCGATCCTCTTTGCAATCGATAAGTACATACTGGAAATAGTATCGAGTAGTTTGCTTGTGGTCATGATATTCGTTCTGTATACTCAATGCACTGTAAAGCGCGGACACCGTGGTAACAACCATTCCCGAACAGGCAATTAAGTGTGTACTACCTTCGTATCTGTAATATTGACATCCCTCCTCCATTCCACTTGGTCCAGTTCCCTTCCTCATCGTTGCTCCAACATCTCCTTCGCATCCTTCTTCTATAACGGCACATTTCCAGACAATTCTGACTTGCGTTACGCGTCTTTTTCATGCGCAAATCATTCCATACCCCACTGAATCATCATATAGGTGTCGCCAACCCCGCAGCAACAGACGTTTGAACCGTGAAACCGGCGCGTCCTACTGCCTCCGCCGTCTCTGGCCCTTCTTCTCGGATGAGGACAGAACGATCTCCTTGAGGCTGTCAGGACAAGCCTACTAATCGCTTTCTTTGTGTCGCATGGCAACTCAAAATTTACTTCGATTATATTCAACATAGGTTGTCTCCGAACAAAGGACTCTTTTGTCACTTTGTTCTCACCCACCTTCCTCCGAACCATTTCTCGGGCTTCATTAAGTCGCCCTCGCCGCATCTTCTCAAGCCCAACTCGCATCGCTCACCTTGTGCACACTTATGACTCAAACTTTCCCTCGGCAAAGATTCCTATCTGTGTTTTGAAACTACTTCTTGTCTTTCCTCTTTCCGGTTCTCGTCGAGGCTGCCTGCGCATTCGTCAACATTTCTTCCGAGGTTGCGGAGAGTTGCATTCAACACGGAATCTACGGGGTGAGTAGAGCGACGCTCACACTTCTTCGGACCTAATCTCCCACACGGATTCAACCCAAACCCAGTGCACTTCCAGGGAGGAAGCTAATTCTGAATATTAATAACACAGACATTTCGATACAGTCTTTCGAGATAAATCAAAATGCCTCCCAGACGCGGTACCGTCAGGCAGAACGGGTCAACCCCTCGCGCTGAGGGCGCTCTTTCATACTTTCAACACCAATTGATGTCGGACAGTCGAACACAAGCCTTGCCCAACCTTCCTACTAGACAATCATTTGCATATGGCTCGGCTGAAACGCCGCTCCTTCCTCGGCAGCTGGTCCTCAACCCTCACATGGATTTGGTTGAAATGGCCGGCCAGATCGAGAAGGGTATCGAGGATGCGAAAGACCGGGAGCAAAAGGAAAGTGCGTCGACTGCGGATCGTAGTCGCCGACGAAGATCCTCGTCGGCTAATGTGTCACCAATACGAAGAACACGCCGCGAGCCAACTCCTGACCAAACGCAGCTACTCGAATCACTCCGCGATGCGACAAGATCCCCCAGTCCTATCGATGGCTACCACCCAAACGATCAATCTACTGCAACTCCTACCCCTCCGATTCCGCATACTATATCGACAACCTCAAGCCCCGCACTGGACCCTGCCCCAGAATCTCGATATCCCCATGTACCTGCTGATAAGCTATACCCGTCGCCTTTGTTGCGCTCGGGAGTTCCAGCGCATGACGAGCCGCCATTGAGCAGCTCGTCTGGACTTGACAATGAGTCCGTGATTTCATACTCGATCGAGCGAGATATTCATGATGACGACTTGCGGCGGACATTGTCCGATGGCAAGAATATAACTGCCCCTCCTCGCCGGGTCTCTGGAATGGCATTCGTCAAAGATGTGTCGACTATTCATGAAGAGGAGGAACCGGACTCAAGACTTTCTCAGTACAAATCATCACCATTAAAATCACCTCCTGTGAAGCCCCTTCACCCGCTGAAATCGATGGTAGCCCAGAAGGCGCCTTCGCCGGAGAGGTCTCCGTCACCGTCAAAGTCGGCTTCACCTCCGAAATCACCATCACTGGATAGATCGTCATCGCCTTGGAGGTCTCTCTCACTTTCAAAGTCCCCTTCACCTGAAAAGTCACCTTCGCCTCTTCGACATTCCTCTCCTCAGAGCGCACCATCGAAGGCCCCGTCGCTCAGAAGGTCGCCGCTACCCCAGAAGGCACCAACGCCTAAAAAGTCGTCGCTCCCACCAAAGGTACCAACGCCCGCCAAGTCGCCTTCTCTCTCGCCAGTGTTTGAGGAAGGTGCGTTGGAAACTACACCGGAGCCCGAATGGGAACCACAACCAGAGTTCCTTAGAGAGGACTCCCCTGTCACCCAACTGTCAGCCCCTACCAAATCTGACATTCCTCACTTTCACGCGGACGGGGCATCTGCTAGGGAGCAGCCAGCGCTCATCCGGCCGTCGCTTTTCAATGAATGGCCTGATATCGGACATTCTACGCGTGAGAAACTATCCGCTGTTGGTCGAATCATTGCGCTGTTGGCACTGGCGATAATGGTCCTGACTAGTTCTAACTACCTGGGCGGAATGATTCCATTCGGTCAACCTCGGTATTATGGACCATTGAACGGAACAGGCCTAGATGCGATCAGCAGTCTCAGCGCACAGATGTCCAAACTAGGTTCACAAGTATCAACTCTATCGAGGGACATCAAAACAGTCAAAGCCGACATTCGAGCACAGCCGACAAAAGGTGTATCCACTGGGACACTCCTTGGCACGTACATTCCGAAAACTAATTTTCTAGCTGTACCACTTGGGATTATAGTTGACCCGCACAAAACGAGTCCAACTGTGACGCAGCAGATCGGTTTCAGGAGAAAAGTTTACAGTTACTTCCTGGAAGAAAATTTTCGCCGCCCGCAACCCCCGTTGTCCGTCGCGACAGCGTGGGAAGATATTGGAGACTGCTGGTGCAGCGTCCTGCGCGACGGGATGACACAAGTTGGTGTTCTTCTTGGCTACCGAATCGTCCCTGAAGAAGTCGTTGTCGAGCACGTCCCCAAAGCAGCGGCGCTGAACCCTGGACTTGCTCCCCGAGACATGGAGCTCTGGGTCCGGTTCCGCCGTGTTAAGAACGACACCTTGGTTTATCCTGAACAGTCGTGGGGTGAATACCTCAAGGCCCAAGCCAAACTGACGCCTCGCCCTAATAATCCTGCCGGGCAGGACGACTTGTTCAATGATGAGCGTTTCGTCTTGCATGAGCCCGTAATGCATGCACTCAAGCTGGCCTATCCCGGCGAATCGGAAGAAGCCTACTGGGGCCAGTATGATGAGCGGCTCGGACCAGCTTTCTATCGTGTTGGAAGATGGACTTACGACATCAACTCGGACCAGCATGCGCAACGTTTCATCCTTGATGCTGTGATCGATGACCCAGAGATCCGCGTGGACAAGGTCGTTATACGTGCGAAGAACAATTGGGGGGCCGATAACACATGTATTTATCGGGTGAAGTTGTTCGGCAAAAAGTAGTCCACTATGCTACTTTCTACCTTTTTCTTCTTGTCTCCTTCCCGTTACTGGTATTTCCACCTCTCTTCTTCCCTCTGTGATATTTTATCGTTATATGTCTACATTCCCGCAGGCGTTCTCTTTAAATATGCATGGATACGACCAATAGATTGAGGCGCATTTGGGACAGAATCAGCTGGGGTCCTGATTTTTGGGTTTATGTTTTCTTTGGTACGGTGCAAATGGCGTCATTCTTCCTTTTCTTTTGAGCTCAAGGTTGGTCGATTCCAAGCGAGCTGTTTGCAGTAGATACCATCCGGCGAAGTCATGCATATCATTCGAACTGATGATTGTTGTTGTTCTTACATAGCCACACCAGATGATTTTCTTTCAGATCGATAGACCAGTATGCTAGTATTTTTTTCGACTATATCAAGATAATCTTCCGCTCAAAGTCATTCTTAGTGTCGATCACTTGTCTTGCTAGGTTGTTTACCGAAAGTGCAAGCTGTTCCTGACAACCCCCTTACTATCTGAAATTATAGCGTATCCCAACCAGCAGGACTGGTTTCGAAATGGGTCCTACGTCTCGCTGCAGCCACGCAATTTTGCGACTCTAGGACAGTAACAACACGGGACAGGAGAGAGCATGTGAGGGTAAGGCTAGTGGAGCTACTGCCTATCGGCTTCCATCTCGATCTCTCGATCCTTCATTTCCGGGATTTAAGCTATCGTCTCTTTTAGATACTACCTAGCTCTCGATCCTCGGAGTTTTAGTTAGCGTCCTCGTCTCGTCTACAAGCCCGCGCCAAGTAACAGACATATTGGGGATCTGCCATGCCTGTGCCTTTTAATTGCTCTCGACAATCTAGCTCGTCTGGCCGACATGGGCAAGGCTCTGGGACAGGCTTAGTTGGAGGGGTTATTGCTGCATCGCGTACATCCCTTGCTTCTGGCTTCTCAGAGGATCTGGAGGATGAGATGGACGGCCGACCTCGTCGCTGCCTGCCTTGAGCAACGTATCACTTGGGTTATACCTGGCAGTGACTGAGATCTACGCTTTGATATCAAGAAAATAAGGTTAACGAGGTTACACGGCTCGTATAGGCCATCCATCTAGTCAATCCTTCCGAGATCTCTAGAAGGATCTTATATACTGGCGGCACCATCACTGTATGCGATGTCTGGAAAGCACCAACATTATTCTCCTTCGACGAAGCGTCAACAATCGAGCATGTGCAGGGCTTCCAGAGCATCATCCGGCAGGCACGAACACCGCTTCTGTGAACCTTGTCCGCAGCCCGACGAGACGTCTGTTCTGCTTTCGAACCCTCCCACCGCATGCTCCTCCCACGAGCAGGACGGACGGTATGTCCTCCCGGCCTTCCTCGGCGAGATCTTCCAGTTGGCGAGAGACTCCATCCCCGTGATCCTTGCCTACGCTCTCCAGAACAGCCTGCAGGCGACCTCGATCCTGATCGTGGGACGCACGTCGCCCGAGGATCTCGCCACGGCGGCTTTCTCGTTCATGTTCGCCGCGGTCACCGGGTGGATGATCGCGCTCGGGGGCACGACGGCGCTGGACACGCTGGCGTCCTCGACGTTCACCGCGAGCGCGAACAAACACGATCTGGGGGTCCTGTTACAGCGCGGGTTCCTCCTGCTCGGCCTGTTCTACCTCCCGGTTGCGGGGCTGTGGGCTTGCGCGGAGCCCGTCTTTCTCCTGCTGGGGCAGCAGCCCCAGCTGTCGAGGGATAGTGCCCGGTTCTTGACTTGCTTGATTCCCGGGGGGCTGGGGTATATCTATTTCGAGTTGATGAAGAAGTATCTTCAGGCGCAAGGTTGTGTGGAACTCTTATTGTTACGTACAAAGGGATATGGAGGTTAACCTGTGTGAGTAGGCTTGATGCGTCCGGGAACCTATGTCCTGTTGATCACGGTTCCGTGCAATCTCTGCCTCAACCTTTTCTGCTCTTCCACGCTTCGTCTGGGGCTGTTGGGCGCCCCAATCGCCACGGGCGTCTCGTACTGGGTGTCTTTCGGGCTGCTGGTCCTGTATACCCGCTACATTGCGGGGGCCGAATGCTGGGGCGGCTGGTCGCGCGAAGCCCTACGCAACCTGGGGACGTTTGCGCGCTTGGCCCTCCTGGGAGTCGTGCAGGTGGGCACGGAGTGGTGGGCTTTCGAGATTGTGGCCCTGGCCGCTGGTCGACTCGGGACTATCCCCCTGGCCGCGCAAAGTGTCATCATGACCGCGGACCAGATCCTCAACACCATCCCCTTCGGGGTCGGGGTCGCCGCATCTGCGCGAATCGGGAATCTGTTGGGCTCGCGAGATGCCGCGGGAGCGTCCCGGGCAGCCAACGCAGCCGCTTGTCTGAGCATGGTGCTGGGAGGGATGGTGCTGGTGGTGCTGATGGGCACTCGTCACGACTTCGCCAAGATTGCCAACTCCGATGCACGGGTGGTGGCGCTTACGGCCGACGTCCTGCCGTGGGTGGCGCTGTTTCAGATCGCAGATGGTCTGAATGGGAGCTGTGGGGGCAGTCTTCGGGGCATGGGGCGACAGCATGTGGGCGCGTTGGTCAATCTGGTCAGCTATTATGGTGGTGCGCTACCATTGGGGATCTGGTTGGCCTTCCATGGCTGGGGGATTCAGGGTCTCTGGGTTGGGCAGTGCATTGCTCTGTATCTGGTTGGCGCGCTGGAGTGGACGATTGTGGCTCTAAGTGACTGGGACAGGGAGGTCGATAAGGCATTCCTGCGGATTGATGCTGATAAACAGGGAGACTGTCAGGCAGTTGCTGAGGGTATTGCTGTGGGTGTGTGATCTGACTGGAGGTGCATTTGGATGAGGTATGAGGTTGGGCTCCTATCCTGCTATCTCTGGGGAGAAGTTCAAGATCAGCTTGCCCTATCCTCTAATTCGGAGTTTAAGTACTTGAGAACCATCAAATACTTTGATAAAAAGCATCATCGAGGCTGCCAACAAACCAGAAGGGTCCGATGTCGAGGAGGATTGTAGAGGCAGAGCCAAGTTCGAACGATCACTCGTGCATGAGACGAATGCAGGACGGATCTGGACTGGAGGCAAACTTTGTTCTCATTTCAGATGCGGTATGATCTCTTGAGTCTTGAGCTTGGGTGTAGGCAAATCAACATTTAGGTACTCAGACTTGAGAAGAAGTGTATGTTCGGGTCAGGTCGACGAGGATGTAGGCCCGGGCCCATATGACGAGCTTCCTCTTCCGGCCGCCTTCCACACTTTCCAAGTTTACTTACTATATCATTCCGTCCCAGGCTCCAGTAATCCCACCACTACAGACTGCAGTCTCTTTTGAGTAGATAATCTACATTCGCGAAAGGATGTACACATCCACTTCGACATGTCGTTTCTACGGTACATCGAACGAACAAGCGGGTGACCCACCCCAAAAGACGGATAGCAATGTATCACATCGTCCCCCTTGCATACAAGGGCAAAACGCCACATATGACGACAATAGATAAGATGGGAGATCATCCACTGCTGGATCGGAAGAGGTCAGGTCAGGTCCAGGTCCAGGCTCAGCGAACGCCCCGACGACGATCGCAGGAGGATTTTCTTTTTGTCAAGAATGACAGGCAGATTTGATCTGACGATGTGGCTGCATACTTCACTTCCTAGACTTTTTGCGCGATCAGTCCAACGGTCAATAGTCGCAAGGTGCAGGGTTGGGCGAGAGGGTGTTGTATCTTTGCCTCTGGCTGCTCCCCGCAAGGTTCTCACTCGTAGATTCTGAGGTTCATATATTATGCATCCTTGCATGGAGTTTATGTTTAGAGACCTGGGTGAAAGGAAGATTGGGCCCGCCCTTGCTGCCGGTCGTCCCGTCCGCGGTGGATGATTGACGTGCGCAGGGAGGCTGCGGATTCGCGGGAAGGGAGTATAACACTTTTTTGGGGATGGATGGGATCTATAGGTCGAGATTCATCCTTGCAGGTTGGATCGGTCGGGAGGAGGCTAAGTTCGATATGTGTAGTTGAACTGTTGGAGAGGTGAGGGTCTAGATCTCGGATGATGGGGATATTTGGGTTTGAATGGAGTGCTGTAACCGATCGGCCCGTGCGACATCCATACACCTGTCGCACAGGCGTATGGATCGGTTGCCAGCCTGTGACTTTGTTGTAGTTCATGTTGGTGGTATGTGAGCGTTCGTCGGCATTGTCAATGGATCGGCTACTAGATAGAGGTGGAGTTGGCACTGTTGCTGAAACGCAAGCGCCACCCCGGTCTGGAGCCCAGGCTGGCAGGAACCCATGGAACATACCCATCTCACTGACACGTGTGGATATGCTTCCCCCCCCCCCCTCTCCGGATCCGGAGACAATCTTTTCCCATAGTGGTGTTCTGGGCCTTTGCCGGACTGGTCGAAGATCGGCCGGCTTGGGCAGATAAAGAGGAGGGTCGCGGAGAAGGTTCAGGGGGGGCAAGTCAAACTCAAGCGAGATTTGGACAGCGCTAAGGTAGATAGCCGAGGGCTGTCACTAATCGCTGCGAATGGAAATGTGCCAAAGAACATGCATTTGTCGGTGATTCTCTATCAAAAATAAGCAATTTCGAGATATGTCTGGGCCACGGCTACGGGAGGAGAAATGCAAAGCGGATCTTGCGAAGGCTTGGTTCGCCTTGGTTGGGCTGAGGCTGGGGTCACTCCTCAGTATTTGCCTCCCCCCTTCAAGATCGCAATATCTGAAAAGGTGCCCGTGCTGATAACCTGGCAGGGCTTGAGGGGCTTAACGGTCAACGGTTGGATTGAAGTGGTACTAATTTTGGATCAAGGGTCGCCTTTTCGTCTTCTCAGTTCCTTGGTTCCTTGATTCTATCTCGACTCGTACGGGTAGTTTGTTCTTGTTGTTGAAAAATGTGCATTTGAACAGGAGAGTCCCAGCTATCCAGCTACCTAGTAGCATACACGTGACATTTCACAGATGTATTACCTCCTTTCTCTGCCCAAGTAACTTATCTAGTTAATTTAATCCTGCTTATGAATCCCTAACAGTCCCCTAATAATTGTTTCAATATTGCGACTGAGTTGGGTCTCTAAGAGCAGAGGATATTTGGTCATGCAACCAGGGGTTATCTAGCCAGTCATCGCTCGCAGAGAGAACAGAATAGATTACTACTTAGTCGATACATAAGTGGGGAGGAACTAATGCAACCCCCATGATCCATGCTCCAGTTCGCCTTTCCACGTTCGACTGTTTCTCGAATTGAGTCGGGGTTTCGACTTGGTGGGCCATGCCCTGGTCAATCAATGTGGATTGCTCTCATTGAGCCGTCGCAATCAATTCTCAGCTATTAGACGACTGGCATTCCGCGTGGCTGCAGTCAAGTTTGACCGCTGTGTCCCATCTAGGACGAAGGACTCAAAAGGTAATTAAGAGAGACTTTCAAGGCTTGTAAGTTCATTTTGCTAAGATGACGCCGACGATGCCGCAATCCACTGGGCCTGTTCATGGACTTCATTGACTGCCTAGCCTCATAGCCGCGGCTAACTTACTGTCCCACTTGCCGGTTGACAGCTTTGCTCCAATCAGGCATGGATTGTCCCTCGTTGTGCTTCATCATGGCACCATATGTAATGGAGAGACTGACCCGCAATCGTAGAGCAGCGGCCTTCAGATGCGCCAGTCGACGTCAAGCGTCTTCCTTTACATGATTAGAGTGTATGTGCGTGCTGGGCGGCCATGCCCGTGCAATTTTAATTCGGCCTAGATAGGCACAGGAGCCTCTAGTCGGCCGTCGCTCTTCATTTCTGCTTGATTAGTGGCTGGCCGTGGGTTGCGCGTAAGAAACAAAACAAATCTGCTGTCAGTACCCGGTTGCCGTGTGGTTCCTGAGTTCGCAGGGCCAGCGTGTTTCAGCACCCAGTGGACTCCAGTAGTTTATTCTTAGAGTCGAAGTTTGACACTGGACTGACATGGTGTGACAGGAGCATGCAGGTTGTCGATAGCGAGATTGGATGAGGTTGTTTACACTGGCAGCTGAACTGGCTTTTAAGGTGTCTTCCCGTCCATCCTTTTCCTTGCGTCGAGGAATTATGGTTCTGCTTGGGCGCAGAAAGAGAAAGTCAGTGATCTGTGTCGGTCTGTCTCTGCGTGCGTCGAAAATTGGGGGGTGTACGTGGAAGGCAGCGATGGTCGTCGTACTTTCATCGCATTCTAAAACCTGAAACATCAAGCAAGACCGGAACAAGAACGATTGGGTCGGACACATTCAAAGGCTCCATCGCAACTCACAGTTATCCATCTGTTAAGACCGGGCTGTCGGGTGCCTGGATGGATTTCCATCCGCCGCGAACCGTGGAACTGCGGTTGCCGGCAATCCGGCACATGTAAAGTATTGATTGTAATGGATGGATTGGGAAGAGTCTCTGGACTGTCTGAACTATCCCGGAAAAAAAAAAGAGTATGTGAGATGTGCTTTGTACTGTACTGCACTGTCGACATCATCAACGTTGGTATGATAGATTGATAGACCGAAGCGATAGACCGATAGACACCTGCAAAAATGAAGATAGTCCCGGGTTTCCCAATGTTCTGGACCTCGATTGGTGTGGGTTTGTCTCCCCCTGGCCTCGTAACTTTAGAGCTAGTACTCATGGAGTGTTGAGCGACCGTACCTGACGAAAAAAAAGGTCCGAGTGCATTAATGCCATCACCCATCATTATCATCATCATCATCGTTCATTCAGCAGGTTACAACAGCAACAACAGCAACAACAGCAACAACAGCAACAACAGCAACAACAGCAACAACAACAATAACAACTTGACGGGTATCCAACATTCCAAAGGGGGAAAGAGGTCAGAATTTCATCAGTCATCGAGTTTTCGATCTGTTTTCTCATTCTTCTCTGGCTTCCTCTGCTCTCTTCTCTCTATTTTTACCTTTGTCTCTTTTCTAGACTGTTTCAACATCAATCATGGTTCACGGTTCATGAAAATGAACCCTCTGAGTTAGTATACCCAGTAGTGTACTACTAACCTCCTTTTTGAATTTAGTGACGATTCCTGACTCTTTACCCTTCACGCACTCCACTTTCTTACTCGGTCCAACCCCCCCCCCCTCTCCCCTCCCTCACACTCCCAGTCTCCAGTCTCTCCGTCCTCCCCAGCCCCAATTCGCTTCAACCTTGATGCCACCAATAAACTTTACCGGTCATTCAGGAGTGTTTCCGCTCCGAGTGTTGCTACATCTTTTCCTTCCTGGGTGTCCTTTGGCACCCTAGGAGTTTGCCTTCTTCTTCGTCTTCTTCTTCTTCCTTTTCTTCTTCACTGCAGCTTCAAACCTGTCACTCCTTGTCTCCCCTCCTTCTTCTTCTTCTCCTCCTCCCCTCCTGCTATTCCACACCCCCTCCCTCCACCCTCCCGCAAAAGCAGTCTGCTTCTTTCGGAACAGCCACACTATATGCGCTCGGGCTGGAAATAGTGACCGCAATCATTCCTTTGCATTTGTTTGTTTCCTCACTTCCTTTATTCCTACTGCAGCCCCCCCCGGTTGGAATTGGCTGTCTCATTTTTCCCTCCTACCGCCAATTGAGATTTTCTGACTGTGTATATCCCGTGAAATAGGTATTTGTTGTTGCAGCAGTCTTGCAAAGAGAGGACTTGTTAATGTCGCAGATTGTCGCCGGCCGCCAACTCACGCGATTCCTCTCCGAAATAATAATTAATTACCCCCCCCAGACCTCAACAACCAGCGAATCACCGCCGATGACGCTTCTGTCCGTTCCATGACCGACTAGTAACACTTTATCACACACCCTCGATTTGTCTGCCCGACCGACCACATTAACATCCTCTTATAAAGGCCATGACGGGCACGCCGCCAGGATCGCCGTCAAATGCGCCCCAACGAGCATTTGGCACCATCATGCGTACTCAAAGAAGCAACAGTCGCCTCAGTACTAGCAGTAAACATGGTGGAGGAAGTCGAGCTTCGGATGAAGATGGAAAAACGGCTGTCAAAGTTGGTGCGTTCATCTGCCCTCCCTTATGCAGCCTATGGGTCTGTTGGCCGAGCTGCGATCGCTGTGGCATACCGCAATGATCGCATCCAAGCAGCGAACTCCAGGATGCGTTTCCGCGCTCGTGTTCTGCATGCTGACGCGAATATAGCCGTCCGTGTCCGACCTGCTTTAAAACCAGACGACCCCAACTATGAACTGGTTCCACAACGCTTCCAGCGGCCCATGGTTCATGTCATCAACCCGACTAGTCTTGCAGTAGATGTTCCTCAGGGCCGCAAGCTCTTCGTTTTCGATCGCGTGTTCTCCGAGGCGGTTGATCAGGACGGGATCTGGGAATATCTAAGCGACAGTGTGACTTCTTTCTTGCAGGGTTACAATGTCTCCATCCTGGCATACGGACAGTCGGGCGCGGGAAAGTCTTACACCATGGGAACCTCGGGACCTACTGAACAACACGACCCGAAATCTATGGGTGAGTATCACATGCTTTGGCAATGTACGGTGCGGTGAATACTGACATGTTCAGGAATCATTCCTCGTGCCGCGCAACTTCTTTTTGAGAAACTAGACGGCCCGCCCAAGCATAACCGTCACAGTTCATCCGGTCTTCGCACTCCAGCTCGTTACTCGGTCGGATCCACTTCTAGTTTTGGGAAAGCGAGCGTCGAGAAAAATTGGCAGCTTAAGGCCTCTTACGTGGAAGTAAGAGCCTCAGTCATCCTATCAGTAGTTGAATCGCCCCCACTGACTGACTTGCTCAGATCTATAATGAGCAATTGAGAGATTTGCTCCTCCCTGACAATACGCCCTTCAGTGATCGCAGCGCGGTCACTATCCGTGAGGATACCAAAGGCCGGATTATCCTCACTGGTTTACACCAGGTGAATATCAATTCGGTGGAAGATTTGATGGGCGCCTTGAGCTTCGGATCCTCGATTCGACAGACTGACTCGACTGCCATCAATGCAAAATCCTCGCGTTCGCACGCCGTATTCAGCTTGAATCTGGTTCAGCGGAAATCTTCGAACGGAATCGTGTCACCTAAAGACAAACGAATGTCCATGCCGGTAGATATGACACCTGGATCGGATCACACCATCACAGTTGATAGCAAGCTTCACTTTGTTGATCTGGCAGGAAGTGAGAGGTTGAAGAACACCGGAGCATCGGGCGAACGGGCTAGGGAAGGTATCTCGATCAATGCCGGGCTTGCTGCACTCGGCAAAGTTATCTCTCAGCTTTCGTCTCGCCAAGCGGGCTCACACGTTTCTTACCGCGATTCAAAACTTACCCGGCTGCTCCAGGACTCGCTCGGTGGAAATGCTTATACATACATGATTGCCTGCGTGACTCCCCCAGAATTCCACCTGAGTGAAACGCTCAACACCGTCCAGTACGCGCAGCGAGCTAGAGCAATTCAGAGCAAACCGCGCATCCAACAGGTCAACGATGATTCTGA